CAATGAAAGTACACTCTGCGCATAAAGTATTTCACTATTTCATTCAGACGTAAATGTCAGATGTAAATTTCGCTAAAACATTTCTTTTATTTTCGTTTGTGTTTTTGCTCATTACAGTTTAATAGAACCTAAGTATGGAGTTTAATAGCAAATTAAGAGGCCGCGTGATTAACAGTCAATCTCGCGAAATAATAGCCAATGTTATAGAGTTTATGAGAAGAGAAGGAAACTTTAATTCACCTTCAATACCATTTAAAAATGTAAATGATCGTGTTGCTGCAGCCACAGGAGTATCTAAAAACACTGTCGTCCGCATTTCTGGAGAGAAAAAAAGAATCGATAACCGTGAGATATCGGAATTTTTATCACCAAGAAAAACCATTAAAAAACCAAAAACAGTTAATGATATAGATGAAGCTGCACAAGAATCAAATTTTATTTTTTATTATTAGATAGCTATTTTTGTTTCTGAGTTGTGTTCATTTACAGGCTCAATTTTTTTCCGTTTCTCCTTTTTGATTTTATATGGGGTTTCAAGTTGTTTTTGACTTATTTCGACGTAAATCACAACAACACACTTTTTTAATAAAGCAAACAAGTGTTAAGAGGTATATGTACGTGTAAACTACAATTACAAAAAATTGATATGAAACCCATGAAACCACCAACAAAAATGTAAAGCTAGCTTCCGTACTAGAACATGGTGTCATTCGTCGAGATAATTTATCGTTTTAATAGATCAAGAAATGTAAATATTCCCCTGTTATTTTCTATAAAATTATAAGAGAAATAATTTTTTTTCTAAATAGTATAGTTTATTATTTTGTAGAAAAACAAAATTTCGAAAATTTTAGTAATGTTTCAGAAACAACCGTTATTAATAATAGGTACCATTTTCCTTAATAAGGTAGAAATAAAATATAAACTATTTCCACGATTTACAAAGGCCAAAAAAATTATAGGTATTTTCCGCTATCCTATAAAATTTATATTTTCTGACTCAATTTCAAAAGGTTGAAGGAATTCCAAAACACCTTTTATGGCATAATAATTATTTTCAATTCTACATACTATCTTTAGCTGCTTTTAAAAACGTTCTAAGAAAGTCCAATCAGACCAATTTAATCCCTAAACTATTCCACACTTTTAAAATTTAATTACCTAAAAATATTAAAAACTATTTAAAATAACTTGTTTAGCAGACTGTACAATAGCTATCTTAGTCACACGTAGCGCGTTCTCTGTCTGGGCGTCGAACACCTCTAGAAATTTGATGAACTGTATATAATTGCGCCATACGTCTTACTAGTAAAGTTAAAACCTATCTTTATTTATTTAAAAATAATTGCTCATGACATAAGACATAACAAATTAAACATAAAAATAAAATTATATTTCAATTTTCAAAATCGTATATTTATACAATTTGGATGAAAGTGATAAAAGTGAAGAAGTTCAGTCAATAGTTTTGTTATGTACTGTTATGTCAATAGCCAAATGTATCTTGGCTATTGTTCATGAATATAAGAAAAAATGTTCTTTCGGCTGGCTCTAAGTGTTGAAAGAAATCACCTTGAAAGAAAGTTTTCAATAGCTTCGCTCTTTAATTAGGAACAGCTCAAGACAAAATCACTAGACCTACAAGTGGTTTATCTGTGGCAGACATATTCAGTTAGTCTTTATATTTTTCAATATGCAATGTTACAAAGTTCAACAACTTGTCAAAATGGTTAAAATTTATTTTAAAAATCAGTGCTCTATTTAGTGCAGAATTCTACGAACGACACAGTAATTATAAAAGTCCCAACTTTGAGCATAAAAGAAAATCTGATAAACATTTTTTTTATAATTTATCACTGTTTGGAAAATTATCTTTGTCTATAAATATTTGTATCTATAGTTATATTTAATCCAGGTTAAGTGTCAGTGCGCAAGTGTAATGTTAAGTATGAACAAAGTGCGCCCATTCTGTATATACGTTTATTAATAAGTACTCTAGTTTTTGGTTAAGTAATTAATTACAACATAGTGATTTTCTTGTGATAGTACCTGATTTAGATTGTGGATTAACGTTTCTGTATATAACTTCGCTGTTTAGTAATAAAAGTCAAAACCGGAACACGTGGTTTTATTCTGGAAAGTATTTTTAAATTGAATCACGTACGCCGTTCGAGTGAAAATGTTTTAAGTAGTTCAAAACAACAATCATTTTGTTTCATTGTTTATAGATAACAGCCTTTTAGCTCAGACAAAACTGATTAAATAAATAAATTAATGTTTATTGTTTGCATTTTTTTAATTCGACTGGTTGACTATCTCAAAAACTAAAGCCAATCAAGCAAAACATGAGTAACATTTCGCTTTTTCAGAAGAACAATGACGCAAGTGAAAATTAATGATTCCACAGAAATCGCAAATTAAAAAAAAATCGAGACAGAAAATTTATTTTAGTTTTAGACAGAACTACTTTATTTTATTCTTTCTGAAACAATTGAAGATTTACAGGCCGGAGAATCGATTTGAAATCGGTAAAACGATCGCCCAAAAACGGTCTTAAACCCCCGTCCACAAAATCACTGTTGACAGTGTAATTTATAAATATATTTACAAATAAATTTACAAGCAAATTAAATAACATATTTAAGAATAATAATATTAATAATTGTCATTGATTGAACTGAATATTCAGTCCAATAGGCTCTCGACCGAGATCCTCTCCATTTTTAGAATATTATCTTTCTAATTCAACAATTTTATAGTTTGTTCCAACACGGATTTTAATATTAGATTTATAAATTGTTTTTGTTTATTTGAATGTTAAAATTTCTTAAAACTAACTTTAACATATATTTCCCATGCCGGCGCTTAGTGTTAAAATAATGAGACGATTTAACGAAAAAGGCTTACGAAAGTAAGTTGCCCTCTTTTGGTACACATTTGTACAAGGCAACTTTACAAATTTTTCCTTATTTTTTCTCTTGTAGAAGATGGATACACCAGCAGTGGTGCGCACAATGATGGTATTTTAAAAAGCCACGTCACATATTTGATTAGATAATTAACTTGATATAAGTGCCTTCAAGACTTAAGTTGTTAAGCATTCAAGTTTGGATTTCCCAACCCAGATTAAATTACAGATAAAAACATTCTTTCTTATGTTGGAAAAAATATGAAAAATATAATTAATGCAATTTTTCTGCTAAATTTTATAGTATTTTAAAAACAGTTCAGAAAAAAATAGTAGTAGTCGGTAACTGAACTTCATGAAATCCAAAGTTGAGCACTTAACGTCCTGAGCAATGAAGGTTTATGTCAATGTTCTAATCAAATATGTAACATTCGCATTTTCTATAATTTATTTTTTAAGACGCCTTCGTTGAGCGCTTCATCAATGTAGGGTATGCAGCAGTATTCCCCATGTACAAAAAAAAATGAAAAATGTTTAATTTTGCTTTTCGAAAATAATACTCCTAAATGTGCTACCATAAATTGGTACTCGATTCGTTTTCAAATGGTGTTAAAAGTTGAAAACTGAATATTAGTGGCTTACATGTTTTTTATTACTTAGTATAATTTCACTAAACGTGTTTGGAATTATAAGTTTACCTAAGAGCAAAAAATCTGTTAAATTTTGTCAGTGCCGATTTTAGTAAAATTATAGTGAATAATAAAATTATAACTACCTGTATATTTACCCATTATTACTTTTTTAAATTTTCAACTTAACATCCTGTATTTCAGAACATTTTATCCAAGCATTTTATATGTTCATCTATTCGTCTCATTTTGAACAATAACCTTCAGTTATTCATGTCCTATTCTTAATTTGATACCATTATATAAAAGTGAATAAAAATTAACAGCGTAAAACTCAAGTTTTAATTAACCATCAGCGATCAATCCAAATTCCAACATCCAACCACAATATAGAAAAAAATGTTCCCTATTATAGTAAAATTCCACCCAATCTCAACTCTATCAATCTTTTCCAAACAAAAACTGGTTTATTTTATTATATTGATTATTTTGGCATTTTATGTGACCTTCAAATACCCTTTTGTAATAATTTGCAACAGTAAATTGTAACTATAAAAATACATTACCGAAGACAAGTAGAAATGAAAAAGAAGATTTTTAAATTATAATTCATACTCAAGCACAGACATGACCTAAAGACCTAACAGTGTCGCCATCTACATTCTATATCCACCGTCCTCCAATGATATGTCCATAAGGTTACCCTACTATAATATCTTTATACAACGGTAATAGACCTAATAAATACGACGATTAAAGCACCATCTTTATTACAGTATATGTACTAATTTATTGAACGAGAAGGTTGGTTTCTTAGATAAAAGGGACGGGTTAACCACCATTTTTAGTCAAAATAGTAATTTTATTTTAATTGACTAAGAAAGGGGTCTATTCTGTAACAATTCCTTTATATTTAACGGCCTTTAAAAATGTTGGCGGTCTTTAAAAACATTTTCGTTTTCGTTAATTTACTTCTGTCATTATTTAAATAGATTTCTTTAAGATAGTCCTCTAATGTATTTTAAAGATTCGTTTAAATAATGACAAGTAAAGAAGAAAATATTTTTAAAGGCCGTTAAATATAAAGGAATTGTTACAGAATAGACCCCAAAGTGACTTATAAATTTCAAATAGTCGATTTCGGAAAATATACAATAATTTAAATATCCTGATGAACCATATTGTAGAAAAAGGTTAAACTTAGGTCATTTTACTATTAATTTTTTCATATTTCTTTTAAAACAAGGTTAAAATAATCTTAAACGGCACCTTTGAAATGAAATAAAGTGGGGTTGCTTTTCACGATTAGTTTTTATTAAATACAATAAATGTATAAATTTTTAATAGCAAGACGACCTAAGTTAGACGTTTATCTTTAACTTGGCCAAAAATTTTATAACATAAATTTTTAAAATGTTATTTTAAAACATTACATACCATTTTTAAATCATCAACATAATTACCTTTAAAATAAACCTTTTTAAGACTGTTAACATTTTTAATGGCATAAGGTTTTAAAACGTACACTTCTGTTGTAGCCATACTTAAAACTTCTAAAATTGGTAAATTTTCAAAAGCATTATTATCAACAAATATTATAGGATTGTCATCTAAATACAATTCTCTTAAATTTGTTAGTTTGTAAAATGTTCCGTTTTTAATTTCAGAAATTTTATTACCATTTAATTTTAATACTTGCAGATTATTATTAAAAACGTTCTTTTCTAACGAAATAATTTCATTATTACTTAATTCCAGTACTTCTAAATTTTTTATGTTAAAAAATTGGTTGGGAGTAAGAATTTTTATATTATTTTCTGATAAATCTACAAAACGCACTGTTTCTATTGATTTCAAAAATGTCAAATTTTGTAATTTATTTTTTGATAAATTAAGCAAATGCACGTGTAATCCAGAAAACGTGTTGTTATCAACATCTTTTATATTACTTTTACACAAATCTAGTTCTACTATGTATGCGTTTTTAAATAAATTTTCTTTTAAATTAGGAAAGTTGTTATAACAAAGATTTAGTCTTCCCAAATTATATTCTTCAAAATAGTTATTAGGAATATCATCAATAGAACAATTTGATAGATCGAAAGTAGCATTTGTGCCTTCAGAAAAAAATAATAACTTAAAATCAAATGTAGATTTATCCAAAATTACTTTTTTAGAATCTTTCAAAGATAAATATTTACGTACTTTAACATTTTCTAATTCTAAATCAGATACATCACCTTGGAAGTTTGAGATATTGAAAAATTTAATTACTAATGGTAAAGAATCGTTTTTTATATTAGTTGCTCTTAATTTTAATCTACTATTTCCAGAAAAATAAAATTTCTCAATCAAAACTGTCTGGTTTTCTGCACTAATATTGAACCAATGATATCCTGACAAATTTGTGTAGCTAAAATCTAAACACAACGAAGGTATATTAGAGTATTTTGTTAGTTTGTTGTAACTAAAATCAACACACTTAATATTTTTTAAATATTCTTCAGATTCTGAAGATTCAATTTTGTTGTGAGACACATTAAGCACAAGTAACTTTCCATTATCTTTAAATACCATGAAGTTAAGACTCTCAATGTCACATCCACTTAAATCCACCACTTCTAGATCCTTTAAATTAAAAAATACGTCCGACACTGTCGATATCTTGTTCTGACCTAAATAAAGCTCTTTTATGCTGTTTGGAAGTTTCGATATAAAATTTATATTATCTAAATTGTTGTCTTGTAAATCCAATGTTTCCAAATTTGGATAATCATTTATTATAACTTCTGGTGCATCAGTAATTTCACAATGGCAGATTTTGATTGTATGTATTACTTGTTTCACATCATCTTCTACTGATTCTAAGAAATGTTCTATTATATCGGATTGCAAATTTGAAAATTCAAAACTGGAAAACACTGAGTAATTTAGGATTTTTGAGTTGAATTCGAACATAATAGATTTTGAGTCACCACTGTTACAAGAAAAAGTTTTTTCACTAAAATCGCACCCTTGTACGGTGTTGAAAATAAAACATGTAATTATTAAGGTTGGAGCCAACAGATACATTGTTGAAATATATGTATTACACAGTTTATGCTTTGTTCAAATAGTATATTATTGTTATTAAAAACGAATTTGATGAATGAGTGCATTTGGCACAACAGGAAATTATTAATTTCATTTTTTTGTATTGTAATTTGTTTTAAAAATGTAATAGTATTAGTATTTCAATTTTGTTTTGTTTAATACTTACCAGTTTAGCTATTGTTATTTTATAAATCAACAAATAAATAATCATAATATATCAAATTGAAGTACTTTATTTCAGTTTCATACATTGATAATATTTAGAATAAAATTTAAAAGTTAAAACACAAGTAGATTATTTGAAAGATGTATATATACAAGGTTGAACACAATGAGATATAAAAGTAAAAATTTACCAATATTTCATAAAAAATGTTACCATTTACCAAGTAATTTAGTAAAATTTTATCGTTCAGATATCACTGGAGGTCAAAGAAAGTTGCCATTTCCCAAAAGGAGCCTCAGAAGTTCTTATTGGCCTAGAACCCTTCTGTGGTATCAAAAAGACAGGTATCAGAACATGCACAAAGCAATGAATCAGGATAATCCAGATCAACCTCTAGCACTGTAAGGCTGATTCGGCTTGTACTTACAGTGGCAATGGCGAGGTTTGAAGTGGTCCTGGTACAAGAACCGTGGATTAGACACGGTACAATAAGAGGTTTAGGAGGATTGGGTGGAGAGTTAATATATGACAGATCCACAGACAACCCTCGAACCTGCATAATTGTCAAAAAAGGCATAAAAATACTGCCGTTAACTAATTTCTGTTCCAGAGATTTAACAGCAGTCAGAATCAAGATCGTTGTAGAAAATGGACCGAAGGAGGTAATACTCGGATCGGTATCTTTACCTTGAAACGATCCTGAAGCAACATCTACCAGAGATGTGGAGGAGCTGGTGAGATTCTGCAGACGCAGCGGAATGCAGATGACCATTGGCTGTGATGCAAACGCACACCACAGGATCTGGGGGAGCATCAATACCAACGCAAGAGGTGAGTCTCTACTACAATTTATTATGGCAAATAATTTAGACATAACAAATGTAGACAATAAACCGACCTTTATAACAAAAAAGAGAAAACAGGTACTCGATATAACAATAGCATCAACATACTTGAGTAATTTTGTTACAGACTGGCATGTTTTTGACGAAGAGAGTTTATCAGATCACAGATACATAAACTTCAATATTAAAGGTAATATTGTAAAAAAAACTTATCTGAATCCCAGGAAAACAGACTGGGAGGCATACAATGCTTCCCTGGAATATAATCTTTCGAAGATAAGAAAGACGATAAGAACAACCGACCTAGAAATGGTTGTGGATGAGTTTAATGACACAGTTACTAGCGCTTTCAACGATACCTGTCCCTTAATAGCAAGGAACTCTATCAGGAAAGTTCCATGGTGAAATGATGACGTTGCTATACTAAGGAAACAGGTGAGACAAAAATTTAATAAGGCTAAAATAACTTACGAATGGGAACTATAAAGAACAATACGCACCTGTTACAACATAGCCTTACGAAAAGTCAAGAGAGGGTCTTGGAGAAGGCACTGTGAGGAGATAGCAGACACTAAAGAATGTGCCAGGCTCCAAAAAATTCTCTCAAAAGACACACAATAAACACCCTTAAGAATGAACTATGGGAGTACGCAATCACAGGGAAGGAAACAGTACGGGTTCAGGGTTCATTTCCCTGGTGCACAAACCATAGCACACACACCGGTTAACCGGAATCTAAACGGACTGGAACCTCATAATAGAGCCAACTGGGAAGACTGGAGGATAGCCAAACAAGTGGTGAACTATGGTAAACTGCAATGGGCAATTAGCTCATTCGAACCATATAAATCACCGGTCATGGACGAAATTTATCCAATAATATTACTAAGATATCCTGATATTTTAAACAGCAGACTCTGTAACATACTCAGAAGTAGCCTAGCCTTTGGACACATACCAAAAGCTTGGATAAATATTAGGGTAACTTTTATACCAAAACCTGGGAAAATAGGACAAGAAACGACAATAAGTCTTATGTCTTTTGTACTTAAGACTTGTAAAAACTGCTAGATAGGCATATTAGAGACGGAATATTGGTTCAGAGGCCAATATACCAAGATCAATACACCTATAGTGCAGATGAATCAACTGAAACAGCTCTTCATCAATTAATGGAGGACACACTGGAAAACAAGGAGGTAATGCTGGGAGCATTCTTGGATATCGAGGGTAATTTGACAATACCTCCGTTGAATCGATCATTAGGTCTCTCAAACACAGAGGAATCGAGGACACGTTCGTTTCTTGGATCGACTCTATGTTAAGGGAGAGAACTATACAGACAACCCTTATGGGAGAGACAATAGCAACACGAATAGCGAGAGGATGTCCGCAGGGTGGAGTGCTATCTCCACTTCTGTGGAACCTTGTAGTGGACGGGCTCCTTAGGGCTCTCAAAGATAAGGGACATAAAACCCTGGGATATGCCGCTGATCTAGTGATCATGGCACAGGGAAAATATAACACTATAGTAAGAGATCGAATGCAAGAGGATCTAAATATAGTAACAAAATGGACAGAGGCGGACATTAGCCCAAACAAATCTGACATAATTGCATTCACCCGCAGGAGGAAATTGAAGGAACTAGGGCCTCTAAACCTAAGAGGTGCAAGCATCCAGCTTAAGGGGGAGGTAAAATATCTCAGGGTTATGATTGACTCGAGACTAACCTGGAACAAGCATCTAGAAAAAACCACAAGGAGAGCTGAAACCTCGTTAATGATGGCAATGCGGTCCTTTGGAAAAAAAAATGGGGATTAAAACCAGAGATGATATATTGGCTTTATAACATGGTGGTGAGACCGATAACATACGCATAGTATACACAGCAAAGGAAAGCAATAACGAGGCTAAGCAAGGTACAAAGACTGCCTCGAAATAACGGGGGAAATGCAATGCTTACAGTTTAGGGAATACACTGGGAAATCTTGACATTAGATCAGGTCACATGAGTATCTCAAAGTTAGTGACACGGGACGTGCTAGACATAAAATCAGACCACATAACGAAGAGGTACTCTTTTAATACTACATTTAAGGTTTTAATGCAGGAAAGAGCGGAGATTATCATAAGCCAACCCAATGCCTAACGACAGGTATACAGACTGGTATACAGACGGGTCTAAGACTGCGGAAGGCACTGGAGCAAGAGTATTCTTCAAAAACCCTAATACTAACCATAGCTATACTATAGAAATACATTCCTCGGTATTTTAGGCCAAGGTATACGCAATTTTGCAATGTGCAAAAACGAACAATGAAAGAAATCAGCATATTCAAATAATGTATCGAGTCAGAAAGTTACGTCGAGAGTAAAACCATTTTGGGAGCCAGGTCACCAAGGGATCGAAGGCTACGAAAAGGCTGACTAACTTGCAAACAGGGTCAGAATAAACACTGGAATCAGACACAAACCCAGGAGTACCAAAAAGTACAGTCCGGGGTTTCATAAACGACTGGATTCAGGAACAACAAATTAACTATTGGGAAAGCACTCCAAAACAGGTACATGGAAAAGCCTTTATAGGCAGACCATGTCCCAATATAACTGGAGAACTACTCTTTGTGAATAGGAATTATTAGTTTAATAAATTAGTTTGCGCATTCTGTTCACAAAGTTTATTTAAGTACCTTGAAAAAAATATTATTTTTGTAATTTTCTTACTTTGAGTCAGGAACATATCTGTGAAGAGATTCCAGTAGTTAACAAGGGACTATAGAAGTACGACAATATCAAAGTAGCAGACAGTTTTTGATATCTTTCATTTTGAATACAGGGTAATCCAAAACACACGACTATGATTTTCTCGGTTATTTTATATCATATTATATCTTATATCATTTTTATAAACTACTTACAAAATACTTTTACTTTTGTTAATCATTCCCTATACCTAAATATTACAGTCGTAGAGTTTTTTTGATTTTTAATAATACACCGATATTTTTAGTAAATACAGAAAGTTTCGTAGAGTTGGACAATATCTATAAATTGTATTTAAAACTATTGTTATTATCCCTCAAAACAACGGATATATCAAACTCCGGAGTATAAGTTGATCACCCTGTATGTAATAACGAATTAAATACCTACAGACATATTACGTGTTGCACTGTTCTAACTGCGTCTTAATGTGCATTGTGCAGCCAGCCTAACAGTTTCAATAATATTATTTCCCTCGAACTAATTACAATGTTATTCCTGAATTTTCCATATCTAAAGCGAACATCGTTCTATAAATATATGGGGCTTACTTTAAACCCACTTCACTAAATCTCTTCCGTCACTTCTACACTCTCCAATTTTTTATTAAAACGCAAGAGCAAAATCGAAAAAATAAACTTAATAGAGGAGTGTCCTCGTATTCGGGCCAGACCAAACGCCGTAAATATTTCACTTTGAATTGACACCGCCCGACGCTGGACAAAACGACATCTCGTAGCGTCGGGACGTGCTTGAATAATGAACCAGCGACCGCTAATTAGGATTGGCCTTTGGGACACCGCACCGACACCTGCCAATGAGAACCGGTCAGGATTTATGAACCTACAACCCTTTGGATAACCAAGTAAGGCTGAACCTTATTTAAACTGTCCAAAGATTAGGAACGTCTTTATGTTTGGTTGGTGACAGAATAAAGAGACAACATAAGTTACGGCAAACATTTACCGCCCAATTCAAAGGTGATCTATGAATTTAATATTTAATAGAGTTGGGCGTTATTTCATAGATTTGTTACTTAATTTCTAATATTTAAAAATATTGGTAAGCTGACATTATTTACATGTTTTTC